CGGGGGGCTCGGACTTCGGCTGCAGCGCCGCGGCCCCGCGCTCTGAGAGCGGCTTCCTGCCCTACTCGGCCGCTGTGCTCAGCAAGACGGCCGTGAGCCCGCCCGACCAGAGGGACGAGGCGCCTCTCACCAGATAACTACGACAGCGCCGCGCCGCCCCGCCTGAGGGCTGCGCCCGTCCCCCTGCGAGTGCCCGGGGTCCCCAGCGCGCCCCCTGCGCCCTGCCCGCCGCTGTCGTTGCCGCCAGGGGGCGCCCCGGGGCACGAGAGGCCAAAGGGAACCTGCCCCGGCGGGGGTGCGGGCGGGAAAGAACCAGCACTAAAGTCCCAGCGAGCACCTCCTCACCTCCACAAATTATTTCTATTTTTGTATTTGCTACCCAGCCGCCTCTCCTCTGTCTCCCGCTCTGTGTTTCTGGCCGCCTAGACCCCAGCTTCCCGCCTCAGTTCTGAGCTCTTGATCTCCCCGAAGACAATGCACCCTTCTGGTCTGTGCATGCTGGGGCCCCCTAACTCAGCCGGAGCTCCCCACCGAGGACCTCGAGGGGAGCGGTGTGCACTCGTGTTTTGTGTGTGGGACGTCACCTCAGGCTTCTCCTGATGCTCTTTCTCTCCATCCATCTTTTCTTTGAACGAGGGTGGGGGGAGAGGTGGCAGTTTTGCTCTCTGGTTTTGCCTGGGCTTGTGAGGGGCCCTGCCAGAGGGAGGAGGAGAAGGGCAGCAGAGAGAAAGTCTGAGAAGGCCGGGGGGTCGCAGGTGGCTGCAGGGGTATTTGTGAGATCAGAGTCATTTTTGTGGATGCAGGGTTTGTGGATTCGGGTTTGTTTACCCGGGAAGGACAAAGGCCAGGCGGAAGGGGTGGCGTTAGCGTCCCCCATGCTTCGGCCCACTCCTTTATTTACTTGATTTGGATCCTAAAGGTAGGGAAGCATCTTTCATGTTTTATGCAAAGAAGTGATGTGATGAGGTTGCTCCAGCCAGGGAAGGGAAGGCAGGGAAAGGGCAGGGCAGGATCTGCAGATCTCTGGACCGTTTGGAGAGGGTTTTTTTCAGCTCACATTTTCCAACTGCACGGTCTGAGAAATACTTGAATCTCTAGGTAAAAAAGATCCTGAAGCACTTCATTAGCCTCTTTTCTGAGTTCGCACACTCTTTTCGCCCCTTCCCTCGTTTTCCGTTTCCTCGGGTAAAACGGTTGTTGGCATATTTCTCACGCATGTCTATTGCGCCTTTGCCTCTGCAAAGCCCTGGCTGGGTTGCAGAGACCCGCTTTGCCAACCCTGGCTACTGGAGGGGTTTCCTTGAAGAAAGGCACATCAAAACCCACCAGTGTTACTACCACGTCAATTTTGATGCTAATAATGTGCAGATTATGACGAAAATTGCCAATCATGCTCTCTGATGGACCTCCTTTGAATGTGGAATTGGAGAAAAGTTCCCCGCACGGAGACCTGCTGTCAAATACTAACAACCCGCTAAGGGAAGTCATTAGGAGAGACGGATATGAGACTCGGTACATAAAACATTGTTCTTGGTGCATAGAATGTATGTTATTTAATGTTATCTCTGTTACCTGAAGTGATTTCGCAGAAGAAAGCCACGTTCTTATCATCTCAATTGCCAATTTTCATTTTGGTAACTTGGACGCCCTGGGCAGACTTTTCTCTGTTAAGCTGATATTCCACCAATGTGAACAGCCTCATTAAATCAAGCCCAGATATTTCCATAATGCTCCCTGCAGAGCCACTTCGCTCCTCACATAATGAGATTTTCTGAAGAGTTGAAGCCCTGAAATAACTTGCTAGTGAGTGTTTGGGCCCAGCGGAAGTGGGTATGCGTGTGCGTATCAAAATGTAGGTCTACTAGTTACATATATGTGTATGTGTATATCTATATATTATATAGAATTCGTATAATATGTATTTGTACGCCTAAACATACACATGTAAAGGATGCACACACATTTATATATACACACCAGTACTATTTTCTGCAGCCTATTTCAAATTCTTGTCCTGACATGTTTTTGCTATTTTGAAGACACTGGATTTCAGATTTTCATTTCTTAAAAATAGACATTCAGGAAACGTTAAAAAAATAGTTTTCCAGGAGAAATGACTATTTTCATCGAATGGCAAGTCTATCAATAGAAAACAGTATTTCAAAACTCCTGAAGTTCATTAAAATAGTCCCATAAAATATTAGATAACTTCTCAATGAAATAACAATTATCTAAAGCTGATTTTTTTAAAGAAGATGAGACTACTTATGTAAGATATTGATTATACCAACTCTTACTCCCTGAGTTTACATTAAAAATATTAATATATAATTTAAGGCTAAATAAAATAAACCAAAATATGGCACCCTTTTATCAGCTTTACCTTTGTAGATTGTTAAAGCCCTTTGTTAAGATCAGCTATCAGATGTATATATAATACTTTAGGCAATAATGTTTACATTTCCCCAGAAATATATATGATTGATGAGAACGCTGGTTG